TTTGCAGGGAAGGTGGGACGTTCGCTTTCAGTGCTATCAGGCTAAAGTTAGCATTTTCCGAGATCTCCTACTGCACCTTTAAGTATATTTAATTTATTCAACAATTAACACACTTACTGTACTTAATTTGACATTAACTGCTTCATTCTGTGCTCTTTCTGTTCAAGACCATCAGAACAATTTCAAGGGCACCAGCATGTGTGTTTTACACAGCTACATTCACACAGCATGAAAAACATCGTTTTGTTAAATAATTAAACATAACAAAACATAATTACATAATGTTAGAGTAATCACTAAAATATCTGACATAAAAAGACAATATTCTTAACACTTAACACTCTAAATAATGCATAAAACAGATTTTTAAAAAGACTATTAACTTTAAGCCAGAACCCAGAGGGCAGCTGATCTAGATGTATAACTGAAATCAAACTCCCACTCGACAGTAACCCAACGCAGTGCCCTCCACCCATTTCATGCTCTGAGTGGATTTCACTAGGCCTCAGTTTTGAGCCGTAACTGAAGAAAACCAGGCAGGCCAAAATAAGGAAGTAGGATTAGGAGTCAGGGCATAAATCGATGCAACATAATGGAAGGCTAGAAAAAAAAAAGGCGGAGAGCTTCAATTTCACAATCTGCTCCTCTGCCTACACACACGCACACACATCTGGCCCCAACGCACTCTTAATCTCACACAGGCCTGCAGCCAGACCTGATTACTCTTCTTTTCAGGAAGGATTCATGCAGAAGGTGAATATCCAGCTTTAGAGAAAAGCTCTGGAGTGTTTACGCTGGGTGCCGCTGTAGATGACCTACCAGTGCGGTCAACAAGCTTAGACACAGAGGCTTAGACTCAGACACTGATACACACACACAACAGCACACATGCACTCTTGAACTTTGTTTTTGCTCTCTTTACTTCACCGTCCTCTCTCAGGGGCATAGGAATCATTGAAACTCTCTAAGTTTGACCACTCTCAACTTTTTGGGAGATAATTGTATACAATGGCTTTACGACCGAATGGCAGTAGCCTGAATGAACACGCAAATGGTGAGTGGTAAATCCGTCTGTGCTCTTTTTAATTGTTTTGCAAAGTAAACATGCTAGATTGACGTCTTTGATCATTGTGCTTAGCATAGTTGTTCTTTAATAATACAGCTAGAACCCACTTGGCTTCAATTATTTAGAACTACTGGGTGAATGTTACACCTAATTAATATTCATGAGACAGGCTGATGAGGTTTTTAATGTGTCTTTCCCAACTTTTTAGATCAGTTCTGCTCTCTCTATTCTCTATAAAACATCAGAAAAATGGTAAAGTGTGTAATTTCTATGCCACTACTGGGACCAAAGAGTATTGCATTTTTTATTTTGGGATACCAATATTGACTTCGGGCCGGAATACTTCTTTAGTCAGCAATATCTATTTTTTAAAAGAGATTAATATTTTTGTTCACAAAATGTGACAGTAACGACATTTATAATGCTGCAAAAAAGATTTCTATTTCAAATAGATGTTCTTCTATTCATCAAAGAATCTGTAATACTGAAAAAACTATTACAGCATAAAAATATTAAGCAGCACAACTATTTCCATCATTCATATTAATAAAATTGTTCTTGAGTATCAAATAGCATATTAGAATGATTTCTGAAGGATCATGTGACACTGAAGTCTGGAGTAATTGCTGCTAAAAATTCAGCTGTCATCACAGGAATAAATTACATTTAATTTACATATTTAAAATATATTAAAATAGAAAACATTAACATTTTAAATTGCAATAATATTTCACAATGTAACTGTTTTTTAAAAATATAATATAATATAATATAATATACTTTAAAGAAATAAAACTATACATGCAATTAAGACAAATTTTAACATGTATTAAGCTATAAAACTAATAGGTAGCCTAAGTCACATAATTTGGTCTCAGAAATGTGAAAATAAATGTTTGAGTTCATATATTTAAATCACATGACATCATATTTAATAAGTAATTTTCGGGGTTTTGATAGCAGACTGCCCAGGTTGTCAATCTGAGAAGCAGGAGCAAAAGTCTCCATTGAATCTCACTGCTTTCTAGGGAACATAATTAAATATTTATGTGATCTTATTTTGTAATTTTTCTTTCCTACACACCAGCCTTCACTAATACGCAGAGTCTCGAGCTGAATATGGAAAGGCAGCACATCTGTCATGTGGAGACCCTCAGTGATCTCTGATGCCAATAACCTTCTGCTCTCTGGAGGGCCGTGGCACTGCTGGGGCAAAACAAGCAGCAATAACCTCTAATGCCTTCCTGTTTCCTCCATATTCCGATCATGCCAGGCTCATTCAGGGCCACTTTGTATGCATCCGTGCCCTGCTAGCAGCACAAACACTCAGTGCCGTCTTCTCCCCGGACAGGCCTGCAGACTTTTACATGTGCTGTATGCATAATGCCCGGCTGGCCGTCTCTCTCCCTTCACTCCTTCATCAAGTGATTGATGTTTTGCTATCACCAGCCTCTGAGAAAGCACTAAGCGAGTCGCTGTTCTCTCTGCTCGGTCTCACCTGAAGCTTTTTTTTCTGTTTTTATTTAAGAATGGAGGGAACAGAACAAGATTTGCTTCTCCCAGTCCAAAGGAAGGGTAAAGCAGCAGGGTGTAAAAATAATGGGTTATGTATGGATTCAGGAATGTGTGTAAATGAGAGAGCAGGGAATGTGACGTCCTCTGCCTCACTGTAACCCTCGCGTTCCCTCGTGCCCCTGAGATGAGGACAGGGAGACTGCAGGACATGTGAATTTGACAAATGGAGCCACTAAGCAGCTTTCCTTCCCTCCGTGTGCGTCTTCAGAGCCCTTGAGAGATACACCAGTGCCTGGGGAGACGGCTGGAGAACACACTCCTGGCTCAGGATTGTGTGTGTGTGTGTGTGAGGGTGTAAAAAAATGAAGGAACGATTTCCTGCTACCAGAGCACAGTATTCATAAACACTCATTAACATAAAGACATTTTTAATATAACTTTTAATCAGTGACACACATAGAACACAGCTACGAGACACTACACTATCACCAGGCAACCAATAACCAATGATAATATTTTTTTATGTTTATATTTATTTTCTATTCGTGAATACCACAGTATTTCAAAATCTCAAGTTTAAATAATATAATATATAATATAATATAAAACATAATAGATTAACACTAGGATATTTCAAAATCTCTCATCAAGTATATAATAATAGTTTAAATAATCTAATAAAATATAGTAAAAAATAAAGGTGAACACAAAACAGAAACTAACTAACTAAATACCAGGATATTTCAAAGTCTTTGTGAAGTTTATAAAATTATAATATAATATAATATAATATAATATAATATAATATATTATAATATAAATTAAGTATTAAATAACACCAGTATAAAGTATCCAGTTATGTATATAATAGTTTAAATAATCTTATATAATCTAATAAAATATATTTAAAAAATAAATCTGAACACAAGACAAAACAGAAACAAACAAATAAGTAAATACCAGTATATTTCATGGTTTAAATAATCTACATTTGAAAGTTTTTATTTGTCAGTAAATGTTGCTTTGGCTATATCTTTAACAGTTACTAAATTTGTGCCCACAGAATGTATTTTCAAATAATTTCATTTGATTTGCATGAGACCAAAAGTGGCGACTTATTTATTTTGTAATCAGTCCATCCATTTTCACCAGGTTGATTCATTCAGGCCTGTTTGCAGACTGGCTCTGAACACAATAAATGTGTGTTATGACACTGACAGAGCAATCAGCCAATCAGAGCGACACAAAGACATTATTGCTGTGATTATTTTTTATCTGATGAACACCTCTGAGAGGATATATGAACAAACACATTAAGGTGTAAAATAAATTATTAGACTTTTTTATCATTTAGGTCCAAAAATAAATAAAAACATTTACTGTATGTTTGTGTTTGCATAAAAACCATTAGCTATTGACTATGTAAAATCTGAATCTGTTCTTTTCTCCTCTGGCCTTCAGTCTAGGTAAGACTGGAACAATCGACTGGTGCAGAAATGGGAGACAAAGCACATAACAACAGCATTTAAAGATTTACACAGACATTTGAGTAATACATTACAGAGCAAAAAATCGTTCTGCAACAATGAGCCACTTGAAACACTGCATGAAACACTGCATGCAACACAAGATTAATCCGCAATGGTGTATTTTTGCGCTCTGTATTGCCTATTGTGCAGTAAACAGTGTGAAGGAGCAGCCAGCTCGGCTTATGGGGTGAAAACTCGATCTGCAAGAAAGAGATTCGCCTCTTTTGCTTCTTTTTTTACACAACGTACAATTCAAATCCTCAGTTATGCTGCTTCATGTATAATCTAGGCATTTTTTAGCAGAAAAAGGCTGTAAATTGTCAGTAAATAGACATTTATGAGCAATTACGCAAAGTATTTTAATTCGGCAGTGTTTTCTTTTTCTTAAGCTTCCATTTGTATTCAATAGAGAACAATCAGCTGAACATGTGCGGCGAATGTATTGTAATCAGTGCTGCAAACAGACTTTTCTTTGTCATTTCATCATTTCTTGTATTCTGGACAAGTGGCAGTTTAAAGTTAAAACTCTTTAATGATTTTTTAAAATGATTTGTTTCTTCCAAACGCACAGCTTTTCACTTCCCAAGACATTCACTGATGGACAGGAGTTGTGTGGATTACTTGTGGATTATTGTGATGTTTTTATCAGCTGTTTGGACTCTCAATCTGACAGCACCCATTCACTGCAGAGGATCCACTGGTGAGCAAATGATTCAAGGCAAAATTTCTAAAGTGCCTGCTCAGCACTTTCTCTTTTCAAATATCACACTTCACAGCAGTAAGCGCACAACCAAGGGATTCAGCGAGCAGCAAGACAGACAGACAGAGTCTAGAGAAAGGGATGAAAAAAAACCAGGAAGAAACAACGATAACATGAGTCAGGCTCTTACATTTCAACTCCAGACGGATGAAATCCGTGTTTCCAAGGTTTTCCAGGAACACGCCATAGGGAGCAGAGGTCTTGAAGTAAAATGAGATATCAGCACTCGTTTCTCCTTGGAAAGTGGAGAAGTGCAGGTACGAGGATGGCGTGTTGAATGACGCTGCATTCCAGTAGCTTCCTGTAAAACAGACCAAAGAACAGGCCGAATGTAAGTTTCAACAGTTCTGCTTCTGAAGTCTGCAGTCAAGGTCCTTTTTATCCAATATCTGAACCTGAACCGCATTAAACCACCATGAAATTCACAAAAGCAAAGCTTTCACTGACACAAAATGACTTATTGCATTGCCTGATTCTGTATTCTGCACTGTGTCCAGTCTTCAGAGGTCTCATGTACTCAAAAAAACATTTGAGAAGTGACCTGTATCATCAAAAAACACTTAGGAGGAAACCACCAAACATGAGGAAAACAACAATTCAATCATACAAGTCAACTCTTGTCACAAATCTGAGTGGAAGTGCACCATCTGTAGGGGAATGGAGAGTGTGTGGTGCCTAAGAGTTATTTCAAAGCCAGCTTGCCAACATCTTCCCTTTCCGATGCTCTTGTGGTTTGACCCCCACCCATCATGTAATACAGCCACTTATCTGAGTGGAAGAGACAAAAATAAAGTGTAATTTCTCTCTAAGATGATGAGTAGTGCGTTTTTCAGGTAAAGGGGGATATTTTGGGGGATAGCTGAGCTGAGGGATAAAGTGAGAGATCAATCAAGCAAGCTTATGTTTAGCTTGAATATCTCCAGAGCTTTGCAGTGGACAGTTATTAGACAATCTGTGGCTGGTTTTAACGTGTGGGTGCATGTGTGGGTGATAACATGCCAGCTCCCGTTCATCATTCTGGTGAAATATCTCCTTGTACAATTAAAAACTAACATTTGCTACACTGCATACTGGCGTATAATTCTTGTTGACAAGTATGCTGTTTTGGATGTTGGCTTTTGCTGGATTTTGCATAAGAAAATGCATTCACCTGCTTCTTTAGAAAGAAATCAGAAATTCATGATTAGGGCTAAAGACCTTCCATAAAGGAAAATTAACAAACTAACTAAAAACTCTGTAAATGTGCTTTTTGTGCAGGTTAAGATGTCACAAAGCTTAATTCTAATTAAAAAAAACTAATTCCAAAAACTACCCAAATAAAATAAAGTAAAAATTTAACTGCAAAAAACAAAAACAAACAAAGAAAAAAACAAATATCCAGTCATATTTATAATGCATTTGGGGTCAAAAGTTTTTTTTTTTTTGAAGAAGAAACGAATACTTCAGCAAGGCTGCATTAAATTGATCAAATGTAACATTCAAGACATCTGTATTGTTACAAACTGCTGTTGTTTTAAGCTTTCTTTTCATCAACGAATCTTTAGAAAATGTATCATGCTTTCCACAAACATTGCTTCTTTTTTTTATATAATAAATAATTACGTACGTGTGGTATGTGTGTGTGTGTGTGCATATATATAAAATTATAAATAAAATTTCTCATATTGTGGTCATATATCACCCCCCCCTTCCCGTCCCGTATTGAACCATGAGAGATCTGGTCACCCTAATATATATATATATATATATATATATGGTGTTTATGATGTTTGTAAACATTTTGCTTTACCGGCATTTTAGCACATTATTTCTGAATGTAGCCTAATAATAAAATGCGAATGTGAGCCTACGTGACTTAGACTATGTTTTTTTTTTCCCTCTCAAAACGCAATTTTAAACGAGTAGCATTTTTTTAACAATGCAGCAAACATTTTAAAATATCTTAAAAAATACTTTAATGTCTTTAAAGCGTTAACAGATTTTTTTCTTATGTTTAGTAGCCTATAATTTGGCCAAAATCTAGAAAAGATGACACTGTATTTGCAGTGGGTAAAGATACCAGATCTCTTCCTGTTTTTTTTTTTGAGTAGATGTTTGTTTTTTTGAGTAAAGAAAATGCTGTACTAATATTATTATTATTAATATTATTATTAGGCTATTATTATTATTATTATTATTATTATTATATGCAAAGAAAATGTTTTAAAAATAACATTATTAACTGGTATTTTTTCTAGGCAAACCGGTTTCGGAACGATAATAATACAGAGGAACGCAGGAACAGAAACTTTAAAATATTGATTCTGCTTGGAGTGAACCGATTGGATTTTTTTTTCCGTTTTCAAGCCCTGGTGCCACTCCTTCTTTAAAGACAACAGATCAAAAAATAAATAAAAATAATAATAACTTGAAGACAATAGGTAACTATAACCAGCAAAACCAGGTTTAGCAGAAAGACCATGCTGGCCCACTAGCTAAACCAGTTTCAAACTAGCTTGGAAGTTCAGCAGGGATCGTTTATAGGCACTTTTGTCCCATATTCAACAATGTCGTAATAAATAAATGGCAGAATGTCTGACTGAAATATTTTTGTGCTCAGCTACTGGCTAAATGCTAAACCACAAACACAGAGTGACAGACACAAACACATTGTCATTAATAATGACTGAGATCAGATTTATCCCTAGACATTTACTGTGACTCATGTGCTTTAAATCAGAAAGCTAAATAACGTCAGCGCTCTCTGCTCTAATGTCGTGCATAAAACACAACTGTATGGAAAGGAGGAGAGCAGAAGACAGAGAATAAAAGATGTAAGGAGGGAATAAACAGAATGTGATGGAGAGGAACATTGCGACAACGGACCGGAGAGATATTAGAGGATGATGTCATCTCAAGACAGATGGAAACAAAGAGAAACAGAAAAAGAGACTACACTGTAAAAAAAAAGTTTTTTGAAGTTGAAATACTATTTCAGCTTTACTTTTAATTCAAGGTATTGCTTGCCATTTCAATGGGTCAAAGTTTAGCTGGTTAGCATCAAAAGGAACTATAACATTGCAAAAAAGCATATTTCTCCATTGATAGCCGTGCAAAAGTAACCATGCATTCATATAAATCAGAAGTTTTTAACTATATTACTGTATATATGCTTAAAGGGGTCATATGATGCGATTTCAATTTTTCCTTTCTCTTTGGAGTGTTATAAGCTCTTGGTGCATAAAGAAGATCTGTAAAGTTGCAAAGACTAAAGTCTCAAATCCAAAGAGATATTCTTTATAAAAGTTAAGAGTCAGCCACGCCTACCTAAAACGGCTCGTTCTAACACGCCCCCACATGTCTACGTCGCTATGTGGGAAGATTTGCATAACTCCGCCCAAATGTTCACGCAAAGAAAGAAGGCGTAACTTTTATTCTCGCTGTAGTTTTGTTGTTGCCGCTGCCATGTCGTAAAGACGCTGTGTGCTTCGTTGTGAAAGCGAAACTACTTTGTTTGGTCTTCCAAAAGAGGACGATATCTGCTTCGTCATGCCTGGAGCTGATCCGTGCTGGTTGCTGAGGAAATACTACAACTTTGCGCTTTGTAACGCCAGATCGGCTTTCACCGTGGACTAAGCGGATTCCAGCCCGGGGTCGTCACATGTCCTTCCAGACGCTCCTTCGTCGAAATCGCCGGCTGTGCCGTTCTCAAGCCCACCCACCTCTGCTTACTCTAACCCTCCGGCCATTCCTCACGCTAGCCGCGATGCAACGCAATGTGTAAAAAGACAGTATAAGTCATTATAATCCATAATTATGTCCCCACTGGATGCAACGAATGCCTCGTTTATAATGGGTTTTCATGTTTTTGAATCATCGCTCCGGCCTGACAGGGCATCATCACAATATGGTGAGGGGCGTAACATTTCCGTCACGCGCTTGAGGTATTTGGCCAATCACAACGCACTGGATAGCTGGCCAATCACAGCACACCTCGCTTTTTCAGACCGATGAGCTTTATAAAAATCGACGCGTTTCAGAAAGGCGGGGCATAGAGGAGAAACAATAATGTACAGTATGTTGAAAATAATGTGTTTTTTGAACCTTAAACCGCATAAACACATTTCATTACACCAAATACACAAAATAATGTTATTTTTAGCAGCATCATATGACCCCTTTAAATAAATTTATATTTAATCATTTACCAGATGCTTTTATTCAAAAGCAACTTATAAATGAGGGTAATAGAAGCAATCAAAAAAACTAAATAGTAACAATATATGTGTCGTGACAAGTCCCGGTTAGTCTGAAGAGAAGAAATTGTTGAATAAAGTCATTATTTTTGTTTTCTCTGCGCACAAAAAAACTGATGTCACATGGACTATTTTAAAGATGTCCTTACTACCTTTCTGGGCCTTGAATGTTGTAGTTCTCTTGATGTCTATGCAGGGCCAGAAAACCCTCAGATTTCGTCAAAAATATCTTAATTTGTGTTTCGAAGTTGAACAAAGCTCATTGATTTCGAACGACATGAGGGTAAGAAATTAATTACAGAATTTTCATTTTTGGAGGAACTATCTCTTTAAGTAAAAGGATAGGAACCACTGTCAGATATAGTGAGTGATTCATTTGGACTTTTTCAGCATGTCTTCGACTGATTCATTAAAAGAACTGGCTCATAATGATTTATTGTGAATAGTTCTGCACTGCTCAAGCCACAAGTTAGTCCTTGCATGCATCCAGTAAAGACAATGCAATAAAAAGACTGTCTTTATATCCATATCACACAACTTCAGACTGCAAGTAGTTACATTTTTGCAGATTCAGCATCACTGCAGTATAAAGCTACTGGTGTGTACCTGCAAAAATTGTTCACTCCATCAGCACTGAATGCCAGGGAAGTCAAGGTCCTGCTCCTTTTCTTTCTCACAGCCACCTAGATCCCATAATTCTCTTTCTATACAAACAAAAAAACTTACTAAACTTCACCCAATGCTTATTTGTCCCTGTACTCACTTGTTCTGCGAATAATTGACCAATGTGTTTCTGTGGCGACTGGAGTAGGAGGAGAAGCGGAGACGTTCACGCGCCCATAAGGGAGGTCTGGGCTTATCACAGCAGCACAGGAACAGCTCTTTTATTCAAGCTTGCTGAATGCAAGACTCTCAGTCTGTCCTTAAAGCTCCGTCCATTAACACCCAATGTTCCAGAGCATACTCATTTAATTATTCGCCGATTTGCAGAATTTTCAATGGGAGCTGGTGTTTTTTGGAACGACGTGGGCCCTTTTTAAATCAGTCTAATAAGGCAGTAGATGTG